GAATTTTCAAATTGTTACTGTGTGCTACAGTACCGGGATTCTTTTCATTTTCTTCTTCCTTCTTCCCCCTGAAATTTTCTTCTTTTCATTTTCAAATTGTAGCAACAGTGACTGTTCGTCTCCCCGGCCACCAATCGACGTCGTTGTGCACCGGTTGGCCGTGCAACCTTCATGAAATATCTTTCTCTCGTCCTCCTCTACAAAACTCATCCAAGACCCGATCCAATTCGCTGACGGTGAGCTCGAATCAACGGTGAAAAAGGGTTTGGTTTTTCCGGTGATTTCTTGCATTTTTCGGCAATTCTGGAAGTGATTTTCGTCGAGTAAGGTATGAAACTTCATCTACTCATCATGCTCTACCTGTTTATATACTTAGTTTGGATCGATTTTGAGATTTAAGAGATTATTCAAAACACCCAAATTTGTTCGGCAGTTTTGGCTGCTCCGGCCACTTTTCGGCCATGGTCCAAGAACAACAGTTAATCCCCTAGGTAGTCCGATTCTAATGGTATGGGTATTCACTGGCAATTTGGAGTTTTCCGGTCGCCAAAAATTACTTAAGGCACCCACGCGCTGCTCGCGATGGTGGCAGCGCGTGGACTATTGTGTAGGTTGTAACATCCTCGACCTAATTTAATCGTTTTATTCAATTTATTGCTATTTGTGAATTTACAATTTTGCCCTTGGAAGGTAGGGGCACTTTGATCACTTTTTAATTCGGAAGGATTTTGGGGAAATGAGTAGTACCTTTGCGTAGAGCTCGACGATACGAGTCCGTAGACAGGCGGCACACTTAATTCCGAGTTGCATTGAACGGGTAAAGGTCTAGACAAAATGGGAATTTTCAAATTGTTACTGTGTGCTACAGTACCGGGATTCTTTTCATTTTCTTCTTCCTTCTTCCCCCTGAAATTTTCTTCTTTTCATTTTCAAATTGTAGCAACAGTGACTGTTCGTCTCCCCGGCCACCAATCGACGTCGTTGTGCACCGGTTGGCCGTGCAACCTTCATGAAATATCTTTCTCTCGTCCTCCTCTACAAAACTCATCCAAGACCCGATCCAATTCGCTGACGGTGAGCTCGAATCAACGGTGAAAAAGGGTTTGGTTTTTCCGGTGATTTCTTGCATTTTTCGGCAATTCTGGAAGTGATTTTCGTCGAGTAAGGTATGAAACTTCATCTACTCATCATGCTCTACCTGTTTATATACTTAGTTTGGATCGATTTTGAGATTTAAGAGATTATTCAAAACACCCAAATTTGTTCGGCAGTTTTGGCTGCTCCGGCCACTTTTCGGCCATGGTCCAAGAACAACAGTTAATCCCCTAGGTAGTCCGATTCTAATGGTATGGGTATTCACTGGCAATTTGGAGTTTTCCGGTCGCCAAAAATTACTTAAGGCACCCACGCGCTGCTCGCGATGGTGGCAGCGCGTGGACTATTGTGTAGGTTGTAACATCCTCGACCTAATTTAATCGTTTTATTCAATTTATTGCTATTTGTGAATTTACAATTTTGCCCTTGGAAGGTAGGGGCACTTTGATCACTTTTTAATTCGGAAGGATTTTGGGGAAATGAGTAGTACCTTTGCGTAGAGCTCGACGATACGAGTCCGTAGACAGGCGGCACACTTAATTCCGAGTTGCATTGAACGGGTAAAGGTCTAGACAAAATGGGAATTTTCAAATTGTTACTGTGTGCTACAGTACCGGGATTCTTTTCATTTTCTTCTTCCTTCTTCCCCCTGAAATTTTCTTCTTTTCATTTTCAAATTGTAGCAACAGTGACTGTTCGTCTCCCCGGCCACCAATCGACGTCGTTGTGCACCGGTTGGCCGTGCAACCTTCATGAAATATCTTTCTCTCGTCCTCCTCTACAAAACTCATCCAAGACCCGATCCAATTCGCTGACGGTGAGCTCGAATCAACGGTGAAAAAGGGTTTGGTTTTTCCGGTGATTTCTTGCATTTTTCGGCAATTCTGGAAGTGATTTTCGTCGAGTAAGGTATGAAACTTCATCTACTCATCATGCTCTACCTGTTTATATACTTAGTTTGGATCGATTTTGAGATTTAAGAGATTATTCAAAACACCCAAATTTGTTCGGCAGTTTTGGCTGCTCCGGCCACTTTTCGGCCATGGTCCAAGAACAACAGTTAATCCCCTAGGTAGTCCGATTCTAATGGTATGGGTATTCACTGGCAATTTGGAGTTTTCCGGTCGCCAAAAATTACTTAAGGCACCCACGCGCTGCTCGCGATGGTGGCAGCGCGTGGACTATTGTGTAGGTTGTAACATCCTCGACCTAATTTAATCGTTTTATTCAATTTATTGCTATTTGTGAATTTACAATTTTGCCCTTGGAAGGTAGGGGCACTTTGATCACTTTTTAATTCGGAAGGATTTTGGGGAAATGAGTAGTACCTTTGCGTAGAGCTCGACGATACGAGTCCGTAGACAGGCGGCACACTTAATTCCGAGTTGCATTGAACGGGTAAAGGTCTAGACAAAATGGGAATTTTCAAATTGTTACTGTGTGCTACAGTACCGGGATTCTTTTCATTTTCTTCTTCCTTCTTCCCCCTGAAATTTTCTTCTTTTCATTTTCAAATTGTAGCAACAGTGACTGTTCGTCTCCCCGGCCACCAATCGACGTCGTTGTGCACCGGTTGGCCGTGCAACCTTCATGAAATATCTTTCTCTCGTCCTCCTCTACAAAACTCATCCAAGACCCGATCCAATTCGCTGACGGTGAGCTCGAATCAACGGTGAAAAAGGGTTTGGTTTTTCCGGTGATTTCTTGCATTTTTCGGCAATTCTGGAAGTGATTTTCGTCGAGTAAGGTATGAAACTTCATCTACTCATCATGCTCTACCTGTTTATATACTTAGTTTGGATCGATTTTGAGATTTAAGAGATTATTCAAAACACCCAAATTTGTTCGGCAGTTTTGGCTGCTCCGGCCACTTTTCGGCCATGGTCCAAGAACAACAGTTAATCCCCTAGGTAGTCCGATTCTAATGGTATGGGTATTCACTGGCAATTTGGAGTTTTCCGGTCGCCAAAAATTACTTAAGGCACCCACGCGCTGCTCGCGATGGTGGCAGCGCGTGGACTATTGTGTAGGTTGTAACATCCTCGACCTAATTTAATCGTTTTATTCAATTTATTGCTATTTGTGAATTTACAATTTTGCCCTTGGAAGGTAGGGGCACTTTGATCACTTTTTAATTCGGAAGGATTTTGGGGAAATGAGTAGTACCTTTGCGTAGAGCTCGACGATACGAGTCCGTAGACAGGCGGCACACTTAATTCCGAGTTGCATTGAACGGGTAAAGGTCTAGACAAAATGGGAATTTTCAAATTGTTACTGTGTGCTACAGTACCGGGATTCTTTTCATTTTCTTCTTCCTTCTTCCCCCTGAAATTTTCTTCTTTTCATTTTCAAATTGTAGCAACAGTGACTGTTCGTCTCCCCGGCCACCAATCGACGTCGTTGTGCACCGGTTGGCCGTGCAACCTTCATGAAATATCTTTCTCTCGTCCTCCTCTACAAAACTCATCCAAGACCCGATCCAATTCGCTGACGGTGAGCTCGAATCAACGGTGAAAAAGGGTTTGGTTTTTCCGGTGATTTCTTGCATTTTTCGGCAATTCTGGAAGTGATTTTCGTCGAGTAAGGTATGAAACTTCATCTACTCATCATGCTCTACCTGTTTATATACTTAGTTTGGATCGATTTTGAGATTTAAGAGATTATTCAAAACACCCAAATTTGTTCGGCAGTTTTGGCTGCTCCGGCCACTTTTCGGCCATGGTCCAAGAACAACAGTTAATCCCCTAGGTAGTCCGATTCTAATGGTATGGGTATTCACTGGCAATTTGGAGTTTTCCGGTCGCCAAAAATTACTTAAGGCACCCACGCGCTGCTCGCGATGGTGGCAGCGCGTGGACTATTGTGTAGGTTGTAACATCCTCGACCTAATTTAATCGTTTTATTCAATTTATTGCTATTTGTGAATTTACAATTTTGCCCTTGGAAGGTAGGGGCACTTTGATCACTTTTTAATTCGGAAGGATTTTGGGGAAATGAGTAGTACCTTTGCGTAGAGCTCGACGATACGAGTCCGTAGACAGGCGGCACACTTAATTCCGAGTTGCATTGAACGGGTAAAGGTCTAGACAAAATGGGAATTTTCAAATTGTTACTGTGTGCTACAGTACCGGGATTCTTTTCATTTTCTTCTTCCTTCTTCCCCCTGAAATTTTCTTCTTTTCATTTTCAAATTGTAGCAACAGTGACTGTTCGTCTCCCCGGCCACCAATCGACGTCGTTGTGCACCGGTTGGCCGTGCAACCTTCATGAAATATCTTTCTCTCGTCCTCCTCTACAAAACTCATCCAAGACCCGATCCAATTCGCTGACGGTGAGCTCGAATCAACGGTGAAAAAGGGTTTGGTTTTTCCGGTGATTTCTTGCATTTTTCGGCAATTCTGGAAGTGATTTTCGTCGAGTAAGGTATGAAACTTCATCTACTCATCATGCTCTACCTGTTTATATACTTAGTTTGGATCGATTTTGAGATTTAAGAGATTATTCAAAACACCCAAATTTGTTCGGCAGTTTTGGCTGCTCCGGCCACTTTTCGGCCATGGTCCAAGAACAACAGTTAATCCCCTAGGTAGTCCGATTCTAATGGTATGGGTATTCACTGGCAATTTGGAGTTTTCCGGTCGCCAAAAATTACTTAAGGCACCCACGCGCTGCTCGCGATGGTGGCAGCGCGTGGACTATTGTGTAGGTTGTAACATCCTCGACCTAATTTAATCGTTTTATTCAATTTATTGCTATTTGTGAATTTACAATTTTGCCCTTAAGGTGGATGCATACACAATATAATCTTAATTTATAAAAGATGAAAACTTTAGAAACTAATTTTTCCTTAGTCATTCATATGATCATTATACAATATATATAAGTCTGTAGAGAACAATCTACAATTACAGCAAGCCATTATCATAAATATAGAGTTATGACCTAATAACAACATAACTGACAATTGACCATTTCCTATCATTAGTAGGATTAATTATTGTAATTGAAATACTATTGTAACTCCCTGATCAAAACATAAATCCATTTATTGTAGAAACAATTGCTAGCTAGGTTTTGGTTCTCCTAATACTTGATAGGCACAGCTATCAGAGGGTGAGCCATCTGTAAAGTGAGGCCAAACTTCTCTTCCATGTTCATTTTTTCCGGCACAATTCCATCTTCAAGCTTCCAATTATCAAACGAGTTAATAAGCGAACCCAACATCAAATTCAACATTCTCATCGCCAAAGGCAACCCAGGACATATTCTCCTCCCACCACCAAACGGAATAAGCTCAAAGTTCCGGTCAGTAACATCGATATTCAATCCCAAAAACCTTTCAGGGATAAATGAGGTAGGGTTGTCCCAAATACTGGGGTCTCTGCCGATGGCCCATGCGTTGACCAACACTTGTGCACCCTTTGGTACAATGTAACCGCAGATTTCTACGTCTGCTTGGGCTCTGCGAGGGAGAAGAAATGGGACAGCTGGGTGCAGCCGGAAGGTCTCTTTGATTATGGCTTGTAAGTAAGGGAGCCGAGTGATGTCTGATTCCTCCACTGGTTTTCCTTTGCCAATGACCTGCTTCAGCTCCTCTTGAGCTTTTGACAGCTTTTCAGGGTTGCGTAATAGCTCAGCCATTGCCCATTCTAATGTTGCTGAAGTTGTATCCGTGGCCGCACCAAATAAATCCTAATTCACCAAAAAGTTAATTAGTCAATAAATTAATATGGGCACATAGACATATAATGAGCAAATAAAATTATATATATATATTTTATACAAGCGATATAGGGGGATTCGAACACAAAACATTGATCAGGACATTGTTTATAGAGCTAACATAAACAAAAACTGAAACAACAATAATAATTATAATTATAAAATCTAAGCGATTTAATTATGAATTCAGACAAGGTCATCAAGAACAATTAGTAGAGCTAGAGTAGAGTAGTAATATAGCAATACGTAACAACTAACCAGAAACAAATGTTGAGTTTCAGCCATGTCCATATCCTCATTTTTCTCTTCGCTCATGTTTATAAGAGTATCCAACATATCATTCCCTGTGACATAAACACGTGACTTCCTTGCCTCTAACCTTTGGACGATCATGCGGTCAAAAAGATCAATCATCTTCTGGAAGTGCTTGCCCAAACGGCGCCGTATACCTATGGGATCAATCTTCTTAAGCACAGGAAAATAGTCAGCCAAGTTTGGCTTCCCAGCGTCCTCCATAATACTCCACACCAACTCCTTGAACTCTCTAGCCCTCTCACTGTTCGGGTCCGCTAAATCCACAGAGAACATAGTCCGTGACATCAAATTGAGCGTAGTTTTGAAAGCAGCCCTTCCAACTTCAACCGCCTTACCTTTCACAACGCTTTCCTTAACGTCAGCTATGAGCTCCTGCACTTTTAGGTGACGGTTGGCCTGGTTGGCGTCGAGAACTTTGGCAGCGAAAAGCTGGGAGTTGCATATTTTGCGGAGGTTTCTCCACGTGGGGGAAACCGTCAGCCAGGGCATGCTGTACTTGGCATGCTTGCAGGCTTGGACTGCATCCGGGATAGTTCGGTTGCAGAAGAATTGGTCGTGGGTGCGGAGGACTTGTTTGGCTACCGCGGATGAAGAAACAACAACCGTTGTTATTTGGCCGAGTTGCAGAGCCATAATGGGGCCATAGCGTTGTGAAAGCTTGGTTAGAGAGAGATGGGGTTTGTTTCCAAGCTCTAGAAGATTGCCAATGAAGGGAAATGGGTTTGGTCCAGGTGGAAGCCTTGTGGGATTTGATGATCTTCTTGCAAAGGAATAATAGAGGGCATGGATTGAGATCCATGCAACTATAAGACACAATAGTATGAAACTCAAGAAATCCATCTCTCTCTCTCTCTCTGTTTCTTCTCTCCCAACTCTTAATTTTTGGGACAATTGTTGAGAGGAAATGTTATCTTCCTATAAAAGTGTCTGAATCATTGACAAAGTATATCTACTATTATTTCACAAGCTGACGTGACATGAAAAAAATAAGGGCTTGTCTAATATAGGTCCCCACATTTTCTATTTCCTAAACATATACCCATCACTCTATAAATCTATGTGTAAAACCCAATTTCAAATTTAAATGACCAGTAGGATATAAGAGGTCATAGTATTCCTATGTTTTTACATTGTTGCCACCAGACTTCATATTTTATTTATAATTTATTTCAATCATTTCATTAACTGCCATAATTGTAATTAATACTTCCTATTAATAGCATATCATTCACCCCATTTCTTTTAGTTGCCATTCCCTTAACATATCACCCCTAAAATTGCAACCAAACAAAAAATGTAAATTACATATCCAATAATGTACCTATGAAAAATATAAATATAAATATATACGTATAAAAATATAGGTATATTGTTTAAATAAAATACAGGTATATTATCTACCAAAAACATTTACAGAAAAATAGGTACACAATAATTTATAGAAAATATAGATACACAATAATTTATAAAACATAATAGGTAGGTTTTTACAGAAAATAGGTACACAATAATTTATAGAAAATATAGATACACAATAATTTTTTTAAAAAAATAATAGGTAGATTATTATCCACCAAAAAACTAGGTACAATAAATGAAATCCAAGTTCTAAAATAGGTAGATTATTATCCAGGAAAGATGGAACAAAATTTCAAAAAGGCAATAAGGAAAACTTCCTTTTTCGGCCAACACATTGTTGATTGTATTGATGAATTTTAATAATAAAATGGATCATTAATTGCAGACTATTTTGGCAATCAAAAAATTATAATAAATCAGAAATTGAGTTTAATAAGGTAACTTGATGAGTTGGATCCTAGTCATGGGTTTTTACTTATAAAAATTGGGTATTATTTATAGGAACAAAAAGTGAAGTGTTTTAGTTAAGGTAAGTTGAATTTGAAGGGTGTAAGCCAAATTTACTAAAAAAATAAAGGTATATCTACTAGTTTACTGGTATAGTTCATGGCCGTGAATTATTGACAAATGAAAACGACAAGGAAAAATGCGTAAAGTAATTTCTTTTTCCCTTTTTTGGTCGAAAACATCAAGTAATTTAATGTTTAATTAGAAGGGAGCTAAGACGAAAATTGTAAAAGTTGACTGAGAGAACTCATTTTCACATCGTGGTAAATATCAAAGCTTTTCAGTCTTTTTGTTAGGGTCAAAATTTCCCTTGCTTACATCTCCAATCCACTAACCTCTGTTTCTTTCTTTCACCACAACACCACCTCTTCCCTGTGGTTTCATCCGATGCTTTCATCATTTCCCTTCTTGTCTACATTGATTTTCTATATCTTTTTTATAGGGATATCCTTGCTGATTTGGGTTTGGCTTTTACATGGTCTTGGTATGAACTTGGCTCATTTTTGTTTCGTTTTGAGTTTGGTAACACATTTTCTTTTGGAAAATGCTAGGGAGACTAACTTGGGAGACCAACTTGGGATACCAACTCTCTAATAGAGCGTGGGACCCATTGTATTGGTGGGCTCCACCTCTATTAGAGAGTTGGTACACAAGTTGGTATCCCAAGTTGGTCTCCCATACCAAAACCATTCTTATCCCCAGTGAGATCAATTGGGCCTTGTTGATTACCATCAATCAAACGTCATTTTACATAACTTCTCCACTTGATGAGAACACATCTCTTCTTGAATATCCCTAGTCATGTCCATATCAGTCTCATTGTCATTATGGACTGGGTTAGCAAAAGGACAATACTCTTTATTGTGACCAACTCTGCAGCAACTAAAACAAATCATAGGGAGATTTTCATATTCCACTCTCACACGTGTACCTTCAACAACTAGATAAAGGATGAGAGGCTTATTCAGATCAATTTCAACACATACACTTGCAAACTTACCTCTCATCTGACCTACAATATGAACATCTACCTTATAGGTTGAGCCAATCAAATCCCCAATACACTTAATAGTCTCAGAATTGAAAAATTCAACTCCCATACCAGATAATCTCACCCAAACAATAAGGCGAGAAATATGATCCTCTCCTGCACAAAAATTTGGTCTCCACTTTTGAATATCAACATACTGCCATGCTACTACCCAAGGACCCCCAGTTAACACATACAACAAATCCTCCTCAAGAACAAAATGAACAATGAAGAACCCATTGTCTAAATCAACTAATTGCATCGGTCCCTTAAGGTTCCAGCGTTGCTTCAAATGTGCAAAAACAAAATTATACGTATAAGTCTTCCTAAAAATTTGATAATCGTAGAATTCCTGCAAGGTTTATAAATCTTATTCTTAACATGTGATACTTGTGTGATACTTCGAACATGTTAAGTTTAACCTCAATGTTGGACTTGAAAACAATTGATTAAGAACCAAAATTGTGCAATTTTTGGAAGTTGTTAACTTTGACTATAAGCCTACTTCACGCCCCCCTCATTCTGTAGGCTTGTTTAAGACTAGTCATGGTTTTACAATTTTGTTCTTTATCGAGGATTCAACTTGAATTTCTGCGTTGTTTCCTGTTCATCTTGCTATTTTCTTTTGTATTCAAATGTTATTTAATTAAATCATTGTTTCCTTTGCTTTAGAAAATCTTTTGAAGTATTTTTTTTTTAATTTTATTTTGTCAAGTGCATAGGAAAAAACCTATATTGAGGCAATTCCCTATTCGATTCAAAGTGACTTGATTTATAGGTTAGATTACATGGTGCTGAAGTTATTTTAAGTTCATTTAATTTTTGGCCAAATTATTTTAAGCACACGAGGACATGTAATAAAAAGATGCTGCAATGACTCGTCATGATAATGACAAAGAGAACAAGAAGGGTTCTGTTTGGGGCTGTTGAAAATCACGGCCGGATTGGAAGCTATGCCAAGAGATTGCGGTCGGGCTATGCGAAGAAGATGCGGCTGGAGGTTTAAAGGTGGATGAGGTCTGCAAAAAGAAATGAAGGCGAGTGTTCGGTCGAAGTTTTGGTGATATGCAAAATGTGGGCTGAAAAGTTCTTTGTCTTGTTTTATTATATATATATATATATAATTAATCAAAGCCTAATGCCATATGCTGCCAACGCCAGACCAACATTCATGCAATATCAAATAAAAGGCTAAGAGGTCTGGTCGAGTGGGGAACCCACGCGGACGACATCCAAATATTTGGAGTTCACATGTCACTTAACGTTGGTGGGAGCCTTAACCAAGTCAGAAGCTCCAAGTGCACAACTTCTCACCAAATGTCAAATCAAGTCCAAAGCTCAGCCTACGAAACTAAGTTCAGATGTTTTCTAGCAGATGTTTTCAGTAGATGTTTCAGCAGATGTTTTCAGTAGATGTTCCAGCAGATGTTTTCTGTAGATGTTTTCAGTAAATGTTTTCAGTAGATGTTTTCCTACAAGTGGCGAAGTTCAAAGACAGGAAAGCATTAACATCGGGAGGATTTCCAAGACATCGGGTAGTTCGTGCCTAGAGCTCCGAAAAGCATTAATATTGGGAAGATTTCCAAGACATCGGGCAGTTCATGCCTAGAGCTCCGGAAGGCATTAACATCGGGAGGATTTTCGAGACAGATTAATTGTAGGGCCAAACCCATGAGCTAAAGGAACTCTATAAATAGGTCATCAGAAGAAGAGAGAAGGACCTCCGACTCAACACACAAAATCTATCTCTTTATCCTGTACTTTTCAATTCATAGTCTAGGATTTTATCTTTCAAGCTTTTCATATTATCCAAGCTCTTCGTTTTCCTAGTGTAAGCTTACTTTCTTGCAATTTAATTTCAATTGTCTTTACATTCGAATTTAATTCAAGTCTTTATCTGAAGCTAAGGTCATAAGTTCCAGCAGAAGTTTCCCTGCAAGTGGCGGAGTTTAAAGACATGAAGGATTAAGTGTCAACCTACCAAGATTCGTTGCACCTTATATCATTGGGAGGATTTTCAAGACATCGGCCAGTTCATGCCTAGAGCTCCAGAAGGCATTAACATTGGGAGGATTTTCAAGACAGAGTTAGTTGTGGACATTTAATGGCCAAATCCCGTGAGTTGAAGGAAGCTCTATAAATTGGTCGTCAGAAGAAGAGAAGGGGACCTCCGACTGAACACACAAAATCTATCTTTCTATCATGTACTTGTCAATTCATAGTCTAGGATTTTATCTTTCAAGTTCTTCAGATTATCCAAGTTCTTCGTTTTCCTAGTATAAGCTTACTTTCTTGCAATTTAATTTCAATTGTCTTTACATTCGAGTTTAATTCAAGTCTTTATCGCTTTAATTTATTTTATCGCATTTACATTTCTGTCATCTCGTTTACTGCATTTACATTTCTCGCACTTAGATTTTTGTGATTTTGCTTACTGCATTTACATTCATTGCACTTATCACAAAAATCCTAAAAATAGTCATACAAATCTCAATCATCCTTCGCCTCAAGGAAGAAAAAGAACCTAGGCCAAGAGGAGGTTCCTTGCTTGGCAGATCAATCGTTTGATTAAAAGTCAGAAGCGCAAACACACTCACACGATCTTTCCATCCAAGCCATCAAGTGGCTTGGTGGTGGCACACCTACACATCTCATGAGAAGAAGGACCAAAAAACTCTTTCCATCGGCCTACCCGGCCGAAAAGAGGGAAATAGGTCCCTAGAAAGATGTCTTCTTACTCTCTGCACGTTAGTTAAGATCTTCTTTTGAGTAATGAGTCAAATGAACACTTTAACACGAGCCCCTAAGATCTTCTTTTGAGCAATGAGCCAGATGCCTTCTTACTCTCTTAATATTAGTTAAGATCTTCATTTAATTTCGGGCCAAATTCTTACTCTTGCACTTCATTTATGTTGTCACTTCGAGCCCTTAATTTTTTTTAAATTTTAGTTTGGACCACCACCATCTTGGTGTCTTGGTCATGGTGGCAGACTAAAATGAAAAAGAAAGGTCTACGCAACTTGCGGTGGGACATCACAAGACTTCAAGGAAGGTCCACATGACATTTTCTTAAGATTTTGGGCAACTTAAATTAATTGGGTTGACCCCAAATTTTAGATTTTGGCTTGCTTGTGGGTATTCGCCCGTATTGCCACCCACCATGGATCGCTTCTGCTGCAACAAGAATCCCTGGTAGTTGACAAATTAACATCCTATATAGTATCTTGGTGAATTTTGACAGAATATGTTGTTACTGGCAAGCTGCTGTGGTGGTGGTCTGTACAAGGCTGAGGTTACCAAATCGATGAAGACCCAAGGAAGGCGTCAAAAAGCCTGGTGAGGTTGACAATGAAGAACCTGCGCTGAATGATCGAAATAACCCTTAAAAGAGAGTCAACATGAGTCAAATGACGGATTAATGGATGAAATGTTCGAATTTTGATGGTGGGGGAGCATTAATAATAAAATTTAATTCGAACTCTTAATTCGCTAAAAAAAAAGGTTATGGGGTAAATTGAGAGTTATGTACAAGTTCAGGGGGTAATTTAGCATATTACTCATCCTTTTTCTCCCTTTGCTTTTGAAAACATATAAACTTGTTTGAAATTAATTTAAAAATATACTGAACCTTCATTAGAACCAAAACATAGCATTAGAAAAAAGAAAAAGAAAAAGAAAAAGAGGATGGGCGTGTTTGGGGAGGGGAGGGACTACTCAGCGTGGGGGCGAGGGAGAGTGGGACTACAACTGCGTGGAGACAAAAGGCCAGGGAATGGTTGCGTTGGGGAAGATCCTACTGGGAGGTGGTCGAGAGTTAGGTATTGTTCTTGAGAGAGAAGGGTAGGGTAGGGTTGGGTGGATTAGAGTTCAGAGGTGGCTCTGGCTTGGGGCTTTTGGGTGTGGGTGGGGAAAGTAGCTGGGGAGAAAGCGAGAAGAGAGGGGTATTGTGGTTGAGATCCTTTGGTTTTTAATTTCTTTTAGCTTTAATTTTTTTTTTTATTTCTTAATTATTTATTGAGTAATGCCATTTAGACACACAACATTAACCACTTTAGCTGACCTCCTTATGTGGCAATTGATGTGTCATGCCAAGTCAATTAATTAATATCGCCTTGTCAATTAAAAAACAGATTTAAAAACCCTAGGGTTCCAAGTAAGTGGACTCATAGCAACATTCATTAATTAACATGACATGACACATCAGTTGCCACATAAGGTGGTCAATGTTGTGTGTCTAAATAGCATTACTTGTTAAAATATTAATAAAGAATTAACAGTAGTTTAACTAATTGAATCACATTGGCTAACGAAGCTAAACACAAGAATTGGCCAAATTAAAAACACAAGGACTAAATTTGCCAATGAGCCAAAACACAAGGAGCATTTTAGCATTTAAGCCATTTCCATTTGACTAGTTACTATTTTCGGGGTCATGATTTTCCATAATTTTTTCTTTTTGGCATCATAATGGCCTACTAATTCTACCAAAACTAAATTTGGATTAGGTATCAGATACCTTTCCCTAAAAAATGTGTCGAGAAATAGAATGATCAAAAGTAGTAACATTGAAAATTCATGTGTCGGGTTTACCTGGTCAAAGCTATTCGATATTACATTTGCTTTTAGCATCTGTAGATTTTGTACAGGGATACATCAAAGCATGGAACACACTAGGAGCTACGTAGAGCTCTTCACACATAAATAGGTTGTTATTATGCTTACAGGCTAGCATGGAGAAAATGAAATTCCAAATGCGCAAAATATATATCATATAAATACAAAGAGGACTGCGACGGTCAGTCGCCCAACAATACAAACACACGCATCCATGATTATCCTTGCACTGGAGTTTCCATGTAAAACATGTCAATCCCGCAGTCTAATTATCAGAAGATGTAGTCGGGCACCTGGAGGGGGAACTGCGCCACTGCAACATCAAATGGGCCGCCCTTCGGCTCCCTCAAACTAAAACCAACAGAAACAAATATGTAACTAGCAAATGTTAATCATGATATCAGTTCAATACTCCCTTACAACACATTCGAATGGGAATTGAATATTTATGTCCATGATTGTTACAAGAAAATTATATGCAAACAGTCATAATTTGTATATTCATATAGATAGATTAGAGCTGAAATCAAAGTTCAGAATACACAAAAATCAAGTTGGTGAAAGATCAGGCGAGTAGAAACATTCTTCAACATAACTACTTTGATATGGTGGAAGTTGCATCTTTGTAGCCCCAACTAACATAACACAAACTCCTAGCTTTCGGGCCTTTGATTCAACTATCCTCTCCTGCTCCTATTACTCATCTAACTCCCATTTCATGTCCCAAACTACGCTCCTAAGCAAATCAAGCTCAAAGGTGTTGTTTTGGTTTTTTCCATGAATTATACGCAATGCTCTTTCTAAGGTTCATCACATGTTAAAGCAATTTCTTTGAAATTCTACATTCTAAGCAAAGTTCTCACTCATCCGAACCTTCTTCAACCAGCAAGTCAACAGGCTCATTATGGCTCAACTAAGATCCCAGTCATATGCAAGGTCAAAATCTGAACTAAAAGCTTGAACACATATCTAACTTAGTTCAGGTGCTTGACACTGAAGAAGTAAAAAGTTAGGAGGGAAAGAAAATCATACAGTATTTTATCTCTTCTCAATGAAAAAAGCCTAAAAAAGCAGATCAAAGATGCAGAAGCCCTATAATTTTTAGTACATGTGGATAAAACATAAAGAACTGAAACATTTTCTGCAAAACCCTTTTGCTCCAAAGTAAGTACATAACCACAGTAAATGTTTCGACCAAATAAAAATCACAGTAAAATCCTTTTCAATCAACACTTTACAGACCACATAATTTTTTAGGTAGGAGAAAATTATTATATGCATAATGTATTCAGGTCGAGTACCTGCCAGGGATAAAAGCAAAAGAACCTTCAATAGAACCGGAAGAAAATGGTAGAGGTGTGCCACTCTCATAAACAAATTCGCTGTCGCCTGGATGCAAAAGTGGGTACTGCAAACACGAAAGTATAAGATTTATGACAGAAATTTAGCCTCTTTCAATGCATAGTTTAATTACAAGCAGAAGTTTACCTTCAATATTTTTTTTTTCAAACACTTGTCTATAAATAGGTTAGATGAAACAATACTTTTTCTGTTTGAGAAGAAACAAAAAATTTATTAATAAGAAACGTCAAAAACTGCAATCGGGCAGGGGATGTGGAGTCGACTCTGAAATTACACTAGTAAAAAAACACAATTTAATCTACCTAAACTACACATAAAGGAAAAGAATCAGACTCCCAAACTTAAAACCACGATCAAAGTCTTACATATTGGTCCTTACGGAAACAATGGAGATCCAGAAACCCGGAAATATCAATAAGATATCGATATTGGTAAAAATTGAAAAAAAAAAAAAACAATGGAATTTGTTAGAAA